AAAACCTGCTCATGCTAACATCAGGCGAATGAACACAAGCTTACATGCTTGAATTAAGGATTTGCAAGTGACATATTCCCAGCCTAATGGATGATCGCTTAACAAGACAGCTCTTCTCTTCCGCCAGCCGAGAGCTTTAAATACAGCGTGTAAAATTCTTGCTTGTGCTTCTCAACACGGATGCACGCCTCTTAAGCACCAACACTAGCCGAACACTGCTCAAAATCTAGCTGGATTGGGGAGAAACAGGTTTAAGGATTCACATACGGCTGCATGTGTGTAATTTGAGCTGCAAATCGTTTGGTTCAGCTTCCTGCGGGTAGTGTACATATTCGGCAGGAGATCAGCAGGTTGAAATTATAGACGTCTGAGACACGGCTCTGAATATGTGCAGACCCCCTGCTCCTATCTGTCTGGGATAAGAAGAGAGAACGCAGCTCTGTCCCACCTCCCACCGAGAACACACACACATACACCTCCATTCCACCCCCTACTCTAACCCTACTGAGCAAACAAGATCAACACGCTCCAGCAAACAGGCCGCAATAGTCTGACTGTTGTGGACAGAGTGAATTAAAAGGATGAATAAATGCATCTCTGTCTGCTCTCCTCTCGTAGTTTATTGTATGAATCAAGGGGCCAAGGCTTGGCTGTACAGTAGATGCTATAACTAGACCAATATGGGACAAAAAGTACCTCAATTGACCCTTTGCAAAGACCCGCCCCCCTTAGTTACTGTTGCTATGTCCGACAAGCCATGCCACTCACACACTACACATCATGTTCTCACGCAGTAAAAATTACATTGAGGAGCAAAGAGTAAACTGACAATGCGCTGACAGACAAAACAGAACAGGTTACTTCTGGAATGAAACAACGTCTCAGCTTTCAAATTTTGTAATTTTTTAAAGAAATTCACAAAATAAATACTGTTTTGTGGCTCTTTAATGTGTCGTAAAAGACCGCTGTAGCATCTCAGTTCAAGCGGCACATGAACGAATCATCTTTTCATATTTACTTAAAGCATGAAATAAACGTGAATGAACATCAGAGGGTATTTATTTCAACCACAAAAATATGTCAATACACACCATTTTTCAAGTTTAAGTCTGCCAAAGTTAATCTACTCTCCTCTCTGGTTTGTTTGTCGGACAAAATGGCAGATTCTGTGTTATGATTGGTCAAACTGCCAGTCAATCAAGCTCCCTGAGAAGGGTCAATTGATGGGCGTTCAAAAGTAGCCGTATTTTCTGATATAAAGTGACAGGCAAAAAAAATCCTGTTGACTGAAGGAGGGAACAGAGTAGCATTGGGGACTGAATTGTTTTGCTCACAATGAAATTCTATTTTAGTTGTTTTTCCTAAATGTTTATTTCTAACAAGTACCAAAATAATTGTCAACGAAATTGTTAATATTAAATTGAATATTTTAACATATATCTTACGATTCCCATCCTTAGAGCTGAGACACCCAAGTATCATAGAGACTTGGGAATGGGCTCCTTTAACCACACAAAACACCTTAGCAACCGCATAGCCATGTCCTGGCAACACTTGAGCACCATGCTGGTGACTTTTGATGTCTCACAACGTTTTTTATCAAAAAATGTAAAAATGGAGTAAATCAGCCTGATCACATTCTGGTAACTCCCATCACCGTCATCAGATAGAGTGTCATAATTTTTGTCATCTGGCAGCAGGTGGAGGCTGAACTATTTTCAGACTCGGTAAAATCGCTTTTGAGTGGGCGCCGTTTAAAGTGAGTGCCATTATTACACTGCATTAGAGCTGATCTCTTTGTCAGAATGACACTGCGATGCTTTTAGTACCACGGCCTTCCAGATTACACCACGACTTCGTCATTCTTTCTCTCTCGCTCACTTTCTACGACTGTCTCAGTGGGCAGCACAAATCGCAGGCCGGTAATTACCATCAAAGCCTCGGCGTGCCTTTAAACTCCGCATGGACACATAGAGAGATGTTCCTGAGATGACTGAAAAGTAGGCAGAACAAGAGTATATTAACTAAGAAACCCTTAAAGACGTCAATTTGCTCTGTCTGAATCATGGACAGACTTCGCTGTTTCATCTCAATGTTCCGGAATACGCCGTTCAGTTCATGCTGGGAGCAGCTGGTGGTGCCTTCATCATTTCAGAGCTTTTAATGTCTGGAAGTGGACAGAAGGAACATTGAGGAAATTGTAGATGACTTTAAGAGGGTCAACTTACGTAAGGTAATTTTCAGAGTACTGTCATCTTGTGAAATCGAAATGATCTTTTTCTGCCCCGAGCACAGTTAGCCAATATTTAAAATCTTTAAAGGGGAAGTATGTTGTTTCTTAAATGTTAAAATACTTTATAAGTATAAAGTTATACTATAAGTAGCTCATTCTAATTGTGTCTTAAATTGTCTAAATTACAATAATGCTGTCAATGTACCATTCAACACTGATTCTACCAGAATGTGATTAAACAGCCCATCCCTGTGAAAAAAACTATTAATGCTAGCTTTTGGTACTTTTTTATGTTTGTGTATCAGCTTGTGATTCCTCTAACACCACTTCTGTTCATCCATTTGGTGCCTAAGTGTCTACCCTTACATCTGTCAGCAGACAACGGAGATTGCCAAACAAAAACAAGAACACAAAATTACACACATTCCCGTCAAAGCCAGAGATAAAATGACAGCGAATAGATGATGTGTATGCATGCGTGGGTGTTTGTCTGTTCACCAGCCTAGATATATGACAAGAATATATATATATATATATATATATATATATATTGCATAAATATACAGTGATAGGTTTGGACAGGAATATATATATATATATATATACATATATATATATAAATATACAGTGATAAGTGTGAGCACACATTCTGCTCAACAAACCCTTGATTTCTCAGCCAGATCTCCTGACTCAATATCATCATCATATCATCATCCCGTTAGTCAGAGGTTGCAGTGGCCTGAGGCTGAGATCCTGTCAGAACTGAAGCGCTGTTTCACAAACAGACTGACTAATAGCAGACAAGTCTGCTTTGTTGAAACAAAGTTACTTGCTGGACTTCCAAAACAGGCAGAACACTCAGCAGACCGTCGTCACGGACCCCCTCAGCATACATCCGGTGAGTCCCATGAACATAGTCAATCTCAACAGTTTATACCAAGTGTAGAGGAACAAGTCAAAACTGATTGTCACACAAATCGATAGCACAAACAGGGAGCGAGACCCAAAGGCAGTAGAGACATCAGATTGTCACGAGTTTCTCGTATTGCTGCCGTAGCATCCTCTACCCCAGATATGGCTATGACAAGGCTTGTGAATACTGGTATTCTACCACCCCCTATACATCCTGAGAACAGATTTGAAGCATTAATGAATGCGGGTGAGGAATCCCCAAATGTGATTAAACATGGATCGGATCAGCCAGCAGCTAACAT